CACAATGGCATTCTCCATTTTCAGTTGCAATACTTACGTTTGCACATTTGAAAACTGGGGCAAGAAAGACAATCTACTTTTTTCTAGAAAATATAATCCATATTTTCTCTTCAGTTTAGGAGCTCCTTCTTGAAATCAATAGTATTAAATGGCCCCTAGTTATTTTTGCCTGGTTAAACTGTGTTTTAAAGGTATGTTTTCATTGATTTTAGCTTTATTCCTCAATAAAAAGCATTAGAAAAAGTTGAATACTTGCTCTACAATAATTTGCAAGATTTATTCTGATTCACTAATGTAAGTGTGTTTTGTAGAACAGGAAAACTATCTAACTGCAGATGATCTGGTGTGCATTTGTTCGTAATTCTCCAGCTGATACATGGAGAGTTTAACAGATTATGCTATCCCAATTCACCAGAAGAAAAGGTGTCAGTTATATGCGTATACTTCCATAAACATGCCCAGATATTAGCTACTGTAAATCACTTCAAAGCACACTCTTCCATGATTCCACATTCAGAATCTCAACGGTTAATACTGATAGCTCTGCGCAACTCATCAACTGTTATTTTCTTATTAGTGCACTTCTTAAAAGCTCAAATTGATCTGGCGGTCTTACAGTCACATCCACAACATTGGCCAAGACTAAGGATCAAGATAGAAAGCTGCAGAGCTAAAAGGAGTCTACCTGGTTTGAGTGAAAGAATCAGTCTCCTATAAGAGATCGACAGTCTGACCCCGAGATCATTCATTGTATGAATGCCTACTGTCTAGAGAATTATATGCCTAATATGATTTATGAGGATGCTACCATCTTTCATAGAATTATAAACTTCTAAAGACAAAATCCCTAACCATATCTTTGCAGTACATTAAGAAAACCTTAAGAGCAGTACAGGGAGTTATGTTTTTATTTTACTATAGTTGTTGTCATATTACCGAACCCATAATATAAAATTTTATACACATCAGATATAAATCCCTTTCTAGAGTTATTCACTTACCACGCGTTGTACAGTGCTAGTATGCTGAAATATCCAAGTTGAGATTTTTTAATACAAATATTTAATCAAATGCATAATGCTGACTTGGATCCAGCAGCATGCAATGAAAGGTTCTACCAGACCAGCCCCAATACAAACACATACAATAGTTAGCATCCTTGCCCTCAGATTTTCTCCTGCACCTCTCCTCGTGTTACTCCCTTGTAACAAATGAAGTAGAACAAGATGAGTAGCTGCTCCTCAACAACCTAAATGACTATCTAGCGTCTAAAGTTAAGCCACTGATGAACACGTATTTGTGAAAACACATACATTAGTTCTGCTGCCACTACCACCAGAGAGGTAACTTGAGCAGTCACAGTCTCATCCTGCAATAGGAAGGTATAAAAAAATCCTCTGCGTCTCAATAAGTCTCAGAAAGTTGAATACCAGAAATTCTAGAACTTTTTTTTTTAAACATTCAGAAGGTATCCTTTAAAGCAGGAGAGGTTTTAAATTAAATTTTATCCAATTTTTCTCCCAAATGCTAGAATCTGATCTCGCATCTCTCTGCCATCCTAAGCAGCGCCTTCTTTTTCTGCGTTCTCAGCTTGTAGAAGACTTAGTCAAGATACTACTTGGAAATAACAGCAGGTGTAGCAACAATTTGTGACACATTCAAACTACTGCCTGTTCCCTACCTAGCATCACCTGATTTTGAAGTTATGATTATTTCTATAACAATTAACAATGAAAGCACCAAGAGGATACCAGTCCTGAGGTTTGCAGAAATAAAGCATTCTAGAGAATCTAAACCAAAATGCAGTTACTTGTAATACTGGGGAATAAACTGGAAAGCTATTCTTTGCATGATTTTAGCAGGTTTTTTTTAGTGTGAAGATGTGGAAAGCAGCTCATATAAAAAGTGTGTTGCCCAAGAGTTATTCTTAGCACATTTCTGGAAAACACTGCACTTGCTGTTTGGATCCTTTTATTTTGATTGCTTGCTCAGTTCAGTTGTACACAAAAAAAATTAGGATGCGCACAGTAAAATGTGCAACATTTAATTTCCAGCAAATAATAAAACTGGAAACATAATCAGCGTTTCCTTTTCCACAGAAAACATTGTACTGAACTTAATTTTACAGCTGTACAAATTGTTTTAAAGTAATCTGCTCAATTGGGCGAGTTAATGATATTTAATTTGACCAGGCCAAACTTCACATGCTGTGCATTACTGTCAGCAATTGCAGTCAATATAACTGTTTGTATAATGTAAATGTAATGCTAACACCTTCCTCTCTCAGCTGGCTTATCAAAAAAAAAAACCGCAGTGTCATCGCCTCTCTAAGATAAACGTAAGACGACAGTGTGATAAGTGTTATGTGCATAGGGTAATTCAAAAGGAATTTAGCCTTCTCAATCAATTCTGCACTCACGTTAACCCTCTTCATTCATTGATTTTTGCTGTGGGCAATATGTTAACTATGGGCCAAATTCAGGTATCGTTACTGCACTGAGTAACGCTACTCTTCCAGTTGCCCTGCTTACTTAAGCAGGACTAAACATCACGTAGCACAGCATGAACTAAGTCCTATCTAACATGAGTAAAGATGCCAGAATCTGGACATATTTTAGAGTTTTACATCATACTGAAGAAGCTAATGTGGCAGAGTCACCACATTACTATAAGTTTCAGCACATTTACAGAAATGCTTATATGACAAAGGAGTAGCAGCCATTAATACCTGAGTCTAGACAGTATTGCATTAATAGCCAGTCAAGGAAATTCACTAGTTTATTCCCAGCAAAAGAAAAAAAAAAGGCTACTCTTCAGCATGTTTTCCCTGTAATGCTTCCATGCAGAAAGCAATGGCTTCCACTGTGCAACTCATACCTCTCATTACAGATTCAGTAACATGGTTTGCAATTGTACAGCGGTCTGACTAGAAAGAGAACAATATAAAGCATCATTCATAAAGTAAATACACACAAAAAAATTCCTTGATCAGGACCCCCAAGTGTTCCTTAGGGTCACTGCTAGTAGCACTTTTGAATCCTGACTTGCAGTTTATTTCTGCACATGAGCCAACTCTTGCCTCAGTCTCAAAATTGTGATGATGACAGCAGCATGATACTCTCATCAGTACCTGTCCTCTCAAAATCTTTGGTTTTATAGATATTTAACAACAAAAAGTATTTACCCTTCAGTTCCAAGAATACCGCCATTACACTGGGAAGAATGACTGAACAGGGCCCTTTCTACTTATAGACATAAGTACAGGACTACTAACCAGTATTTTACAATGCATAATTTTTTTGGAGACGTACTTTCTTTCTTATCTGAGTAAGCTAAGGGTAAGTTACTTGAAGGAACATAAGCAATAGAACACAGATCTAAATGTCCTAGCTCTTCTCTTTCACAAACCCTGGGTTGATTAGATACTTAAGGAAGAATTCCTCTGAAACTCTGTGAGCAGGGAAGCTAATGAGGAGTGAAAGTGCAAAGCCATAGTGGGTTGGAAGTGCTCTGCAGATAGGGAGAGATACCTCTGCCTGCCAAAGGTTTGAAACTGTGAACCTTGTATTAGAATTGAATGCTTAATCTCTCTTTCACTGCTATGAGCTACTGCACTGCTCCTTTGGGATATGAGGGATCTGGGTTCAAATCCTTCTTCTGCACATCAGTCAGATCCACATCTTCCAGTCTGTCAGGTCTAGCAATGGTAATTCTGGGTTGGGTGTCCATTTGATGTTTACTGAAGGTGCTCTGTTTTGCATGAATGTTCTCTCTCTCAACTGGAAGATAACAGTGGTTAGATTTTCACAGAATCACGAATGGCTGAGGTTGGAAGGAACCTCTGGATATCATCTAGTCCCATGCTGAAGCAGGGTCACCTAGAGCACATTGCCCAGAATTGCGTCCAGGTGGCTTTTGAATATCTCCAGGGAAGGAGATTCCACGACCTCTCTGGGCAACCTGTTCCAGTGCTCAGTCACCCTCACAGTGAAGAAGTTTCTCCTCATGTTCAGATGGAACTTCCCTGTGTTTCAGTTTGTGCCTGTTGCCTCTCGTCCTATCACTAGGCACCAGTGAGAAGAGTCTGGCCCCATCCTCGACACTTTCCCTCCAGACTTATACACACTGATCAGATTCCCCCTGAGCCTTCTCTTCTCCAGGCTGAACCGTTCCAATTCTCTCAGCCCTTCCTTGTAGGAGAGATGCTCCAGTCCCTTCATCATCTTAGTAGCCCTTTGCTGGACTCGCTCCGGGAGCTCCATGTCTCTCTTGCACTGGGAAGCCCAGAACTGGACACTACTCCAGGTGAGGCCTCACCAGTAGAGCGGGAAAATCACCTCCCTCGACCTGCCGGCAACACTCTTCCTAATGCAACCCAGGATACCAATGGCCACGTTTTGAGTTGGGATAGTCAAAAAGTGGTTTTGAAGAAACACCTATATAATTGGTTCTTCGGGAATTCTGTTCCCTATCCCTGTATGATATCCATGTCCATCCTGACAATACAATATTTTTATTTCAGTGACTGGGCACCACCATCATGTTTCATCTGAAAATGTATTCACCAGATACTGATACAAAATTGTGTATTCACAGGTCTTGTCCCAACAGTCTTGAGTTCAGTATTACAGTTAAATGATTTCAAAAAAGAAAACAAACAAACAAACTAGAAAATAACAGGAGAATCAATAATTTGGGTTTTTTGGACAAGGGCTGAGGGATTTCTAAACTTCAAGAAGCAAACTGGATGCTGATTTGTACTTTAGCTCAAAGAACAAGCCTAGTAAAATCTCACAATTAAAATAAAAAGCAGCACACAGGATTTGTTACATCAGCCTAGTGAAAGAGGAAACAGATGCATAACACTGCATAAATAGTTCCTAGTGCTTGCTGTATGTATATTTAGATGGAAGCTGAGACTTTTAAATAAGCAGACAAATTACAAAATAATCTCCACACTGACTGTTTCTCTCATTGCTTTGCTTTCTTTTTCCACACAGGTCAATGGGAAGGATTTATCTAAAGCAACACACGAGCAGGCAGTCGAAGCATTCAAAACAGCCAAGGAGCCCATTGTGGTGCAGGTCCTGAGAAGAACTCCACGCACCAAGATCTTCACTCCTTCTCATGAGTCTCAGCTGGTAGATGTGGGCACACAGACAGACATCACTTTTGAGCACATCATGGCTCTAAGCAAGATGGGCTCGCCTACTCCACCTGTCTCAGTGCTAGACCCATACCTACTACCTGAAGAGTAAGTAATAGTTTATGAAGCACTTGCAAATCTTTGTATTCCTTAGTGTGGCATGTTAGAAGTAGCTCACAAACTCCCCTTACTTGCTGGTGAATGTATACTCACAGAGGTAGCCACTATTCATATGTCACAGAGTCATAACTCAAAAGGTTATTTTCACTTTTTCTCCACTTTAGCAAGCTATTACTCACATGAGTAATTCCACTGAGTCACAACATGGCCTCATAAAGCTCTTTTTTTTTTTTTTTTTGGTGTTTGATAGATAAAGTTATTGCTGCTTGTAATTCCTCTCACTGCCTCTTTAGGTTGCTTATGTTTTAACTTTATTTTTTATGGCTGCCATAAATTGTATAATGCTAAGAGCTGCCACATTCTGCTCCAGTGTATTAATTACTTTATTATAACCCTGCAGCAATGTTACTCAAATAAATTATTCTCTAGGACTAAAATTACTTACCAGTGCTGTCATGAATGTTTTAGAATCAAATTTTAATTATTGCTAATGGTAGTTGGATGTTTTTGTACTTACAAATAAAAATGACAATTATCTCCTAGCACACATACTCCATGCCCTCACACACTGTTCAAGAGGAAAACAGTTCCCCAAGGAATCCATACAAATTACCTGTATTCTCACCACATATCTCCACAATGTACAAAAAGGATAGAAAAGATTCTAAGGGTCTCAATTGTTGTGTATGACAGACCATAACCTGGTCAATCCACAGCAATACATGCTTTTGAGATGATCCTGTAGGTGGTGAGCAGCAGTGTCGATATGCATCTATCCTGGCTATGCAGCACAGCCCCGGAACAGACTCCCCAGAGAGCTTGAGCTGGGAACGGCAGCACACAAATGCATCCCACTGCACCGGATGTCTCTCTCAGCAGTTCGAGGAAATAGAGCTTGACTACAAACGGGCACTGATTCTGTAGGGCTCCTATGTGCCTTTTATGGCACATTAACATTCAGCCAGGAATTGGGCTTCTGTGTACAATGTCTATTCCTTTCACGAGTCTCTACACTGATTACTTGAAAAAAGGATCAATCAGATATTACTGCATTGCCATCTATTTGCAGCCCATCGAAAATTTAAGCACAGCTACAGGTTTCAGTGGACATACCTGACAAAAAGCTAGCTTTAGACTTGTTAGCAGTGAATGGGCAGTAGGGCTTAGAGCGCTGTAGAGAGGATACGCTTACTCTTAGAGCTCTGATGCAGCATATGCCTCGACAACTGCGAGATGGGTTTTCAGTATCTCAAAGACAAAAACTATCTGCCACTCTTCAACCGCAAAATCAAACACATGAAAAATGTGGCAAAGAAGATTAATTCATGACAACAACTGTTTAGTTTACATCATGCCTGCGTAATACAAGCTCAGTCCTATCAAATGGCCTAAATTCCAACTTCTGGCATATTCAGTGGCCTTATTTTGAAGCTGTAGATGCCGGCCTTAACCGCATGGCCTGCCAAATTGCTGTCCCTACACAGAAGGGCAGTCAAATAGCTATTTAAGTATCCTGTTACCCAGCATGTGTAAGCAAACAAAGAATGATGCAGGTTTACTGAGCGCAGTTCATTTTTTCCTTAATGCTTCCTGTGACTGCTCCAAATCCTTTTAAATTAATGCAGCCTGCATGTAACAACTTGGGTATCCTGGCCAGTTAGCAGATGCTGTTACTTAAATAGTCTATTACTTACACAGCAACATGTATCCAGTTAACAGAGAATTAAAGGGAATCCACTTTCACCACAGAAGTAAATAAGGCTGCAACATCCACAGCAGTGATCAAAAAGGAATTACGCTGCTTGAACTTCCAATGTATAGTCAATGAAGGTTGTCCAAGAGCCCAAGTTGTAAAACGTAACATGCCAATAATGAGTGGCAATTTTAAAAAGTGCATATTTAAACCGTATTTAAAACATTAAGCACAGCCCATTGCATTCAAATCAATCAATAAAATGCTGTTGATTTAAACCCAAATAGTTAGGAGCAAATTCTTACTGTAATAGCAACTTGATAAAATTTTCTATCTTTAAGGCAAAGTACAAATAACAAGCAGGTAGGCAAGGATGATTTTGCCTGCTTGTATGCAAACCACCTGAGCTCATAAATAAATGCAAGTCTAGTATTCCCTCTCATCTTGCTCCCTGGTAAATATCTGCCCATTTAGCCTGTGTTACCTGGTACTCCTTATCTTACCTTGCCACCATTCTCCCTGTATATTTTTTCCCCAAGTCAGCTTTACGTTTAGAGAAAATCACTACATGTATGTTAAGAGTCTTTTTAAGTCCCTTATCCATCATCACGTGCCAAAGCTTTAAGACTGTTCTTATAATAAGTGTATTTTTTTCCCTTGTGCATTTAATGGTATAAACTGTATATCATTTACCACCTGCAGCATCTTGGTCTGATTGTTAGTCTATAATTTCATGATGACTTGCTATAAGCTTGGAACGGAGTACAGAGTGCTATCCTAAAACATAATTTTTTTTTCCTCCAGTCATCCATCAGTGCATGAATACTACGACCCAAATGACTACATGGGAGGAATTCATCAAGAAATGGACCGAGATGAGTTAGAATTAGAGGTACTTAATGTTTACTAATAATTTCACTTACTTAAAATTTAGCATGCATGTATCATAAGCTTTATAGTATGTATAAAGTGAAAAGACAATTCAAGCTGGTGTTTTTAGTACTCTCATATCCTATCAGAAGTTCATTTTCAGTTTTATCTTTCTTAATTTTATTAACCTGCTCCCAATCATTCAGAGTATAATATATAGATTGTGGGCCTTAGTTCTGCAAGATAGTTAAGTAAGTACTAAATAGAAGTCCCTCTGAAGTATTTTTTAACTGTGATAAATAGTAGTTAAGAATCTCAATACTATATTGTCAATGATGTCTGATCCAGATAATCCATTCATGACCATCAGTAAGTGAACAGTTTCTTTCTAGTTTGCCCACACTTCTGATTTCTTAGATCCTGGACCTGCTAACACTTTTTGTCAAAAGGAGCAGTGCTGACCTGTCCGTAGCCCTGTTTAAACCAGAGGGAGATTTATTATCATCTTCAAGGGGAACAGAGTTTGGTCATTCTATAAGCATGAAGTTGCTCCCTTATATAAAAGCGTTCGCAGGATCAAGGCCTCAATCCCTATAAAAAAAAAGTTTGCAAATTGTCTTCAAATTCTGCAGATCTGGTAATAATTCATTTCTGTATACAAACTCAAACTGAAGTCAGAGGAGAATCAAAGCACCAGTAGAACAAATGCTATTTAGCAGACTTCAAGGCATCTCTTTCAAAAAGTGACTATCTTTTTTTGTTAAATAAAAACAAATACAATACAGATTTCAGTCTTAAGGGAAAACGTAGAGCAGATTAGTATTTTCTGCCAGTGTCTTTTCAAAATCTATCTTTTAAGAAATCTAATATTGTGGATAAATTATATTGCTTCCATTAGGAGGTCAACCAGTTGAGCCGAAAACAGTTTAAACACATGTACTTCAGTAGCTGGACGTTAATATGCCTTAAACCACAACATTAATAATTTTGACATTGATATAGTGCTTGATGGCAAGAGGTGATCAGCTCAGTAACACAGGCAGATGAACATTAGAAAAGTCTCTGTAGCCTAATAGTATTTCTTAAAAACCACTAAAGATTGTTGTTCAAATTGTAAAGACTATGATCAATGGTAAGGTCAAAGTGCTAACAGGGACTCAACTGGCTAGTTGCTTTTCTGTTTGCCTTTTGATAGATATGTTTTAAAAGAACACAAAAAGAATGTCTACAGTCAGAAAACCATCAAGTCAGCCTTCTGGGTTTCTATGTCCAGAAAATGTGTTTGAATTTAAATCACAAGCTCCTCATCTAAACTTTTATAGTCAACAACTGGCTGGTGATTTGTAACATGTAAACAAGACAAAAAGCTGTGAAATACCCAAGTTCACAACAAGCTTCTAGTGTAAATATCTGTAGGAAGGAATTTATTCTGGCAGTATTGCCAAGACATCAAAATTGTGTTTCCAGCATCATCTCCCAACATTCCTCTTAAAGCTGATGACTCAGAAGTAACAGTCATGCATTCCCTTCTACAAAAATAAATACATAGCATTTCTTTTCTTTTGAAGTTTACATGCCACAAAGAAAGAGGGACCAAATCCCGAATGACTATTTTATTATAACTTAAAAGCACATTCATTATGCACAGAGGCCCAGCCAGAAGTCATTTCAGGTTCAAAAAAGAAGAATAATGTCACTCCAAGATTTCCTTGCAGTGTTATGCGTTAATGTGTTTATTCAAACAAGTCTGTCCAGCTGTCAGACATGCAGACTAAGCTTTCTCAGTATGTTAATTCTCTCAGATTACAAAGGAGAAAATTCTGAATCAAAAATGAGGCCTTATCTCACATTTGACTTTCTGCCCTTACCCTTTCCTATTCCCAAACAGTATATAGTTCTGGTTTTCTGAGTAGAGGGTTAAACTGAACTCACCTGAACTGAATGGCTAGTTGAGACAAAGTACAGCTTGGAAATGAAAAACAAAATGAAATGTTTGCTAATCGCTAGAAGATCTCCCCTCCTCGACCCTGGACACAAGTGAAGCCTTTATTTGAATACCTTGTCCTTTGTTTTTTTAAGGTTACTTTTTACCCTTTCAGATATTAAATCAGGTATAGTTATTGCCATCTCCAGTTTTAAATCTAAATTTTTTTTTTTTTTTTTTTTTTTTTTTTTTTTTTTTTTACAAGTGACTGAACTACTTCTCTTGCCATGCAAGAGGAAGTACTAAAGCACTGAAGACTGAGCTTGCCCTGTCTCTGGGCAGATGGCTTAACAAAGCTTCACAGTTGGGATAGTTAGCAAAACAGTGATGGAAAGAACGCGTACAGACAGCAACTAAGGGGTTACTCAACACAAAGAGTTACCGTTTATGGGGGCCAGGGTAACTGAATGTGCATATTTCTAGTCTGTTCCACCTGAACAATAGAAAACATTTAAGTTACTAAACTGCAGTGAAGACAGTACACCTCAAATTTATCCTCTAACAATTCATTCTGTTTTCAAAACTGGAGATAATTATGAACTACTACCTTTTTACTATAGCCACATCTGTGCTAGCCCATTAAGCATTTACTTAATTATCTAGGAAAGCACTCTTAAATACAATGATATTAGAGTTTTCTTCCTTTCAAAAGAATGTGTCTATTCCTCCAGAGGCCTATTTCAGGTGACAGCTCCCCTGAAGAAAATCCCACCCCTTTTTTTTAAGTTCTTCCACTTCTCCCAGGACACAGCGCTCTCACTGGACTCTTAGTGTGAAACCACAACATCTGATCAGCAAGAAATAAACATACTGAAGCACCAAAATTTTTGCTTCAAAACTTGAAAAGAATACTTAATTACTTTCGGGAAGTCATCACTAAAAGCTGAGTACTGAAAGTTTCCAGCTCTCTCCCATTTACAGTACTTTGCTACTCTGGTTGGAACTTTTCTCCCACTAACTTTTCCAAGAATCTATTTGAAAGAGGGTGGGGGGGAGGTAACTATTTGAATATGGAAACCAAGAGGCTCAATCAGGAGCACTTAGTAAATTTTATTCCATCCTGACTTTAAAGCATTTGAAAGGATCTTTTATGCAAATATTCCCTCTCTCCCCCGACCCCTCAACGGACAACTTCCACTCTGCAATTCAGTAAGCGAGGCAAAAGATCAATGATACTCACCTGTTCTAGCACTACTAACCCCTTTCTTGGCCATCTCCATGCTTGTGTATTGAGGCATCACAGGCATATTGGAGCTCTTTCTTTTGCTGTTTAGATTGTTGTTTGTGCTCTCCGAATGGATAACTGTGTTTTAACAAGGTGGATAAAGACAGAAAAGTTGGAAGCAATCACTGGACTTTCTTTTCTGAAATCTAAGTTGTGGACCATCAGTTCAGCCACAGTCACCTTTTGCTGAGTAGGAATTACTCTGATTAAGAGCCTCCTTCTTGTCATGCCAGCTCTTGTCATGCTCACAGTCATGCTTAGGCTGTGATTGAATATATAAAAGTTTAAAAAGCAGTACACTCCTTCAGCTTCTAAGACAAATATTTGTATGTTCTTCATTTGGAATAAATCCAAATGCAGTAACCCATTTTAACTCGCTGACAAGCAAATACTGAAGCTTTCTCTTCCCTTAGCTCTCTGAAGGACCTCAACCTGGCCTTAACACCTCTTACTGCATGAAAAAGGTCTTAATTACAGACTTCTACTGGCCATCTGCTTGTCTAAGAGCCTTGGCGTGCTTGAAGTTATCTTGCTTAGGCATCCTAAGTCCATTTTCATCAGGATGAGAGGTGGTTCTCTTCAGCCTTCCCCTGCACCACTGATGAGTTAAGCTGAGCTCCAGTCTCTGTGGTCCATTTGAGAATTATCATCATAGAGCTAGGCCAGCACAGAAACCTGCAGAGAGAGGCTTTTACTTCTACTGTAGGGCAAACAATTTTGGAAAGAAAACCTGTTTTGTAGAATTCTGATCCATAAGATGTGGAGAGGTGGGTTTGGTTTTTTTTTTTTACCTACTTAAAAAATGTATATTTATGTGGAAAGACAAATGTACAGATCACTTTTCTTTAGTTTCAATTCCAGATAGTAAGCATAAGGTTTCTTCTCCTGCTGTACAAGGGTCAATTGCCAAAAGGTATTCAGAAGGTCTCACACAGTATAAAAGGAAATGTTTCTTCATATTTATTTCTCTGACATTCTTTTCTGGGTGAAACAATTAAGAGAGCAGCAGAAAAGTAGGCCCTACTGGTCAGGTATCTCAAAAGTCAGCATAGAACCACCCTTCCTCCCCCCCAACCCCAACTTTTTAGAGAGAGAAACAGAGGGACAGAATACCTCCTATCCTTTCTGAATGTTCGAACTTTCTTTTTTGCCCATAATTATGCACGCATTTTTTCAGACTTCTATTGCTCATTTGTGTCGTTAGAGAAAGTACTTCGTTTTTTATAATAATAAAAAACGTTTATTATAACATTTTTATAATTTTAAATCGCCAGTAGAATAATTCAATGATCTTTTGCAAATAAATGATCTTTTGAGTTTTAGAGGTTAATTTACTATTACCACTAGTTAATTTACTATTACCCAAACTATTATTATGAGCAGTTGCAGGTATAATGTCATAGTGCATATACATTTCTTCTGGCTACAAATCCCATATGGATTTCAGCAACTAGCTCTTTGAGCTTTCTTTGGCTCTACCCATTTCACATGGAGCCAATAATCTTTCAAGCAATTTTCCTGTGCTGACTCTGCTTTGAAATAGTATACAGATATTTCTCTTGAACATCTCCCCAAATGCCACTTTTTCCTGATCTAAATAAGCAGAAGATTCTAAATGTGTATCATACCAACTCAATCCCTGATATTACCACACTTGATAGAGACCACCATTGTTTGCTATCCAATTTCTGCGCATCTAGATCAGGTGTCAAATAACTTCAGTGTCTCCCCCTTCTGCAATGGACGCGGCTGATAGGTTTTATGATGTAATTATAACTGTTTACAGAGTTCATTACCATAGCTGTTTACAGAGTTCATTACCATAGAATCTGAGCCCCCACTGAGCACTAAATATTCTTTCATCTCAAGACTGCATAGTACATCAGATTACTCTGAAAGATCAAGCATCTAGCAGGGATTTTTGAAGCCGTCCAGCCACTGTTGTGCACGCAGCGGCTGTTATCTGCAATGGGAATGTAAAACACTGCAGATTTGCAGGATCATGCCCTCCAGCCATCCAGAAGTACAATGCTCCAGACAGAGGAGAAAGAAATGGCAAGTCCAATGACACTGCAAGCACTTGAGCTTACCCCATCAAAGTTCTTTAGACCAATATTAATTCCTAGACTTTAATTAATTCCTGGTGCAATTGCACAAGTTACCATATTATCTGTACTTGCAGATGCCAATTTTTTGTTCTGTTTTTCCCTTTCATGTATCTGTGTATTATACAGACTCGACTCAAAATGGGAAATAACCTTTGCTTTGAAGATGCTGGAGTTGATTCTTCAACTCCAACTGGAATTGTGCACTTTTCTCTCTCAAATATTTCAAATTTTTATGATTATATTAAAACTTTATTGAAGCAAAGACCCATAGAAAGCAGCTGTTCCTATCCTTAAGTACACAAAATTATCATATTTGGATAGCATCAAACTCAGTCATTCTATTCTTACCAAGGACTAGAGAGATTGTACCCAAGGGTAAGTCCATCAACTAATTGCTCATAAAAATTCAGGTTCTAAACACCTGCTCTAAAAATTTTTTGTTTGCTTTAGCTTTTCCATGCTTTACTTGTGTGCATGATTTTAAAGAATATATATCTGTTTTTCTTTAAAAATATATATTACTTAATTCACCAGGCAATTTATTACCTTCCAATATATTACAGATGATGTCTTGGATGCTACATTTTAAATGTAAACCCATACTTTTTCTTTTTAATCATAATAATACTCTTCATTCTTGTACACTGTTGAAAAAACATCTATTGTTATTCAAAACGTGCTACAGGTAAGAATGAAACTAATCACTTGCTCCCTCCTCTCCCTCCTTCCCCTCCAAAAGGTGTTGGCAAGTGTTTATCCTTAAATAGAATCCATTTAAATAATGACCAAAGCTACCATGCTTTTTTACATTTTCACTCCAGTATGATACAAACAACATAATGAGCTACAGCACCAAGGGTAATCATTTCTTGCAGTTATTTCACTGTCATGTTCACAAATAGTAAACCATATAAAAACCTTTTTCAAGACACGAAGTCATTTTGTTAAAGCACACAGGAAATAGGGGAATCATTCGAGGCCTAAATTAGGCTCCTGATTGACATATTCCCATCTTTTCCTCATTTCACATCATGATTAAATCCAGAATAAAAACACTGATTGCAGTGGCATTACCAAGGATTAACAACATTAACTGAGATCAAAATCAGCTCCACATTCTCTCATCTTTTCTACTGAAAAGTTCGTCTCCTCTCTAGAAAGTCCATAAAGATTTAGAAATCCGAAAAAAAAAAAAAAAACTTACTATTAAATCATTGTGTTCAACCTTTAAGTAACAAAAGGGGGAGGAAAAAAAGCAGCAGTTCACCATGGATACTATTGATTGAAACCATTTAAATACCATCTGAAATGTCACTGACATTTACAGCTACGTTTCTTTAAAAAAAGAAGAAATTACACATGTTGACAAGTAAATAACAAGAGATTGCTGATCTTGGCAGCTGTCATCTAGACATGCCAATAAATTATTCATATCAGCTTGTTTTATTGTCTTGCCCCTTACCACACAGCACAGGTCAAAAGAGAGACGTTGAGAAATAAAAAATTATTCTTCTATACTTCTATATAGGTAGTATACTTCTACCTGGGAACGGAGAGTTGTGAGCGGAGGCGCCCTGTTGGTCCTGACCACAGCAGGGGTTGCCCCCGGGGTGCGAGGGCTCAAAGTGTCCCAGGCAGCTTGCGCCCTCCTCCTCAGCGGGTCTCCTTCTGCCCTGCCTGCCCACTCTCCCCACTCTCCTCCGCCACAGCAGCCCCCCTCTGCATCCTGCCTGCCCTTAGCCCTCACTGTCAAGCCTGCTTTTAAGGGGAGTAAAACACCCTGCTACTCTTCTATCTACCTATAAGAAACCTCCTCTCTTCCTGCGGCAGCCTCCTCAGGACTGGTAGAGCAAAGTCACAAGAAGGCAAGAGTCGTCTTTGAGCTCTCTGGGGCATGCAGCTCTCCCAGGGTACCATGGGGAAGGCCACGAGTAACAGTCGAGATGGCCACGCTGACCACGCGCCAGCCAGGAACTTTTTGCACTGTGGCTGGACACCTCCATGGATTTTACAATCCTTTTATACCAACCGGTATAACAAACGGACAACACACGTAGGAAAGAAATTAACGCAGGCCATGTCTTTGTGGCAAAAAGCATTGAGGAAAAACATTTTTAAGATGGCTTAAATGGCTTCAAGGTTAATAAGACCGCCAAAGAGCACTGGAATGATAAACCACGACTTGCTCAAACCAAACCCTTGCAAGATATCAAAGTACACGTTATATTTCTATTACGCATATCAAACACTATGTTGACAACATATTGATCTTCAGTCACCCTTCTAAGTCACTGAATTCATTTCTTCATGAAATTTACACAAGTTAAGGTAAAGTATTTTCTTTCCACAGAAAATCCAGAAATCTTTCCTCCATATAGGAAAAAATACATACCAGCTGTGGCAAATATTGAAATCATACCTCATAAGTATTTTAGCATTTGAAGTTTTGCCACTACATGAAATATAGGTAATTTTTCTTCTTTAAGATCAATAAAAGGTCTATTTTCAAAATGACTTTATATTGATTGAAGGGTCAAAAATGCCCCAACTATTGATTGTCTGCATATAATCATGTTTTGCTCAGTAAGTTAACCTAGTCTACACAGTAAAATGAAAAGAGATCCAGTATATCACTTAAGCAAAATATTTTCATTGCATTTGAAAAATTGCTTCCATCAGTCACCAGTGTCTCACTGAGAATGTCCTTTTTTCTCCCCACCCCCCCCCACCCCCACTCTCTCCTAACCTCAGGAAGTAGATTTACATAGAGTGAACAGCCAGGACAAGCTTGGCCTTACTGTATGTTACAGAACGGATGATGAAGATGACATTGGTATTTACGTGAGTGAGGTAAGATTGAGCTGATTTCCATAGAATATAATTTGTTTTTTAAATAGGAGTATTGCGCATTTAAGATAAATCTTTGCCTGTTTGTACTATGTTCCAAAAACAGTCAGAATGCAGTAATTGGAAGAAATCTAATTGTTTTTCCTCTCCTTCAAACTGAGTGAAATCCTGCATCCATTAAAGTCAAGCTCCTAGTAACTTCAATGAGGAGGTGGAGAGAGCAGAGACAGATGGGGATATATAGAATTTTTTCCTAGATTTCAGTGCAGGACACATCAAACAAGCCTGTCCCCTGAAATAAATCAATTTTCCTCCAGTTTTTCCCATGTAGTTCTCTTCTCCAATAATTACAGTGTGACAGATTCAAGTGTGTTGTGATGCATATCAGCATGCTTTTTCTCTAATCATAGTCTCTCCTCCAGTGGCGTTAAGGCCAGTTCACAATGCTGGAGATAAAGAAAATAATAAAAGTTCTCCCTACACTTGTTTAGAAATATGAGGGGGCAGGGGGAGTTCAAGCATGCAGTCTTCAGAAGGCTCCTTATTCACCTGGACAGCGCAATGTTAAATCAAAATCTTCTCCGGTATTGACCATGAACAACTACCCAGCACAAAAGCGTGTCTTTGTAACCTGTGTACATGCTCCTTGTTCATAAGCCTAGAGTACTATATTACTATTTCAGTCTGCACAAACACAAAAGGTATGTGTTGACCTTGAGCCTTCACTCATCAAAAAATACCTCATTTCTCATTTGTAAGGGCACATGAAATGTTGCTTCTTTTCCATCACGTAACAGAAATACGTGTATTTTGCCATGTCTGATCATCTCTTTTTTTAAAAAAATCTCTTTTCCTATGGATAACAGCATTCATTATATCGACATTCAGTGTTCTTTCTTCCCCCAACACATTCTTGGCATTCAATTTCAGATGAAGTTTTCAAAGGATTTTTAAAACACTCTGCATTGAATTTTTATTCTCAACTAATTCCAAAAACAATATACATGAAAGAGATTAACGCATTGTTGTTTGTAAACAAAAATTTGAGGCACATTTGCCTCTCTTTGCCTCCTTTCATGAAATACGTAGCTTTTTATACGTAATCTTTTTATCACTCAGATCCATTTCAAACTTAATAATAGCAATTTAGGGGGAAAATCTTATAACCATATCTAAGATCTTCCATTAAAATGCATCACTTATGACTAATTCTTTCTGTGTTGTATGTAAAAATTGCAGGCTCCAATGAGAACACTGTGTTCTAAAGCAAGATGCTAAATTATGAGATAACTTTTTTCATGACAAATCTACATTCTCTGAAAACGCATGTCAGGAAGAAATGTTTTAGTTCTGACTTAGACATTTTAACCTGCATTCCACATCCTCTTACATAAGCAAGGAAAAATCCTGTAATCACTAGACAAGAAGTAACAACCACAGATCTGGCAGCAGTGATGGACACACTGGCTTGCAACACTGGTCATATTATAAATACTGGGTTTACAAAAGGAAATAAAAGACTGAGTTACAAAACTTCCAAAGCACTTATAGTTCTCTTATTTTGTAGATTGACCCCAACAGTATTGCTGCAAAAGATGGTCGACTCCGAGAGGGGGATCGCATTATTCAAGTACGTGTGTAAATGGCTGAAAGTCTGCTAACATACCGTAATCCACTGCAATCATTTTAATTCACTGTCATTATTTCAGTATCATTTTTACAAATCATCCCCTTCCGACTGGTATTTATACACTTCCTTTTAGCTTTCTGAAGACACTTCCCTTTCCTTTGCCACATATCAATTAGTCAGATTTTGGTACTCCTGGCCAAGTACAGTCCCATATCAGCCCTACTCTTGCAGGCTAAACATTTTACAAGTGGAACACATGGATTTTCAGTACAGAACCTGATACGCCTTTTAAGTCTTCCTTCTACCACAGAAGCCGTCTATTTTGGCGCAAGGACTTAACCCCCTTTGCAAAATCTCTCCAGGCAGTTCTATTAAC